TTCTACACAGAAAGTCCTTATAGTGTAACTTTGAAAATCTAAGACCTTTGTGGGTTTGATAGAACAACAGTAATGCCAGGACATCTTCTAAAAGCTTGGTTATTTCCCCAACTCAGGGGTTCTAGGAGCAGCTACCCGAAGTCAGTGAGGCAGGGTGACTTCTGAGTGACCCCAGGGCTGCTTTCACCGAGAGCCAGCAGGAGACAGTAACACCGGGTACACGGTGTACAGTTCCCCGAAGCCTAATTGCTCTTTGGAGAAAAAAGGTTATGAATTTAAAAATGAATCCCAGCACTGCCACAGAAAGAGAAGTACTTGGAAGTGTTTTTCACTCACAGAAAGTGCATTAGGGATATATTATTGCTCTTTCTCCTCCCGGAGTTACTTCCTAACGACCCAGCCTAACAGGGATGTTACTTTTCGCAACATCTGCTTCAGGCTGTCAGTGGTTACCGACGGTCCAGAGCGTTCCTGCTTCTTACATGCAGAACTGAATACAAGCCCTTATTGCTATTTAGTCTGTCTTTCTAGGGTCTCACCGCTTTTCTCTTAAATGCTTTAAGCCTCTGGTTTTGGGGGCAAGAGAATGTATTTGTCTGGAATGATAAAGCAGAGATTCTTCTTTTTATTTCCAAAAGGGGTTATGAACTTCTAATTAAAAACTTTGCATCACTGCTTCGAGGTAAAATTTTGAAACAAAGAAACTGTCCTTTGAGTGAGTTTATAAGTACTGCAGGGAGATTCATTATTTTTTCCTCCCCTTCTTCCTGTGTCACCAAAACTTTCTTGTCCGCTGTGTCAGGGAGTGTAAGGGAAGAAGCTGCTGCTCTCCCTCCTCTGCTCAGTGGCTCCTCCTCTCTGACACCCTCTGACACCCATGTCACTGTTGGGTGAGGGGTTAACAGGATCCAACTGCTGCCCCCATGGGTCCTGCCGCATTTTTTGCTCACCCCCTCCTGGGACCTGGAACTGGCAGTGCCCGCAGGCCCATCGGACCCTCCCTTCTCCACTGTTGTCTTCCTCTGGGGGAAGCCCCCGGGCAGGCCCCGCTTCCCCAGGGGAAACCCACAGCTTTCCAGCTGCTCTGTCGGCAGCTGATCCGCAGGCTCAGTTCAGAGGAGGGGCAGAAGCCCACACCGCATCTCCGGTCCAACGCTGCCCGAATAAAGCCACACGCCCATCCCTGCCACCTACGCTGTTTCTTAGAGCACAGGGGTGGGATTAGCCCCCCTCCACTGCCAAGCGACACCAAAGACTAAAAAAAAGTGTTATAACGGAGTTCTTTTGAAAGCTTGTAACTCCCCGGTGCTTCCTTCCTAAGGCAGAGTCTTCTCTTGGAATTTAATAACATAACAATGAAGGCTGAAGGCTAAAATGTAGCTGCACATTTAGGTTTCAAAACGCAGCCACATTGGGCAAGGTGGACCCACTCACTTAGGGCATCTTTGATCTCCTCTACGGGCTTTCACAGTCACAAGTAAAATGACAGGGAGTGGGAGAATCTGCTGATCCACAGTTTGCGTCTTTCCTATACCCATCCTAATGCAGGGAGGTCCGCTCTCCCTGACTTCAAGAGTCATTGTCACATCAGCAGCAAGATGCTCCCCTTNGGTCCACTCTCCCTGACTTCAAGAGTCATTGTCACATCAGCAGCAAGATGCTCCCCCTGCCTGCTCATGAAGTGCTATCTTTCTACGCCCGTAAGCACCTCCACCACTTCCCTCTTCCCGCTACTTCTAGGCAGGACTGAAAGGACTTCCGATCTATTGCAGATCCTACCAAGAGCGTGTATAAATGCTTCAGTAACTATTAAAAAAAAATGTTTTCAATGTTCTTTTCTTATGCCCTGTTCCTAGAGTATAGCTTATTTTTTAAGAACAATAGTGTGTAAGTAGACTGGGCTGGGACTATTTTTCTTCTTACACATGTAACAGATACTTTGCTTTTACTAATACTTTCTAACCATAAAGAGATAGGGTTCAGAATAAGAAACACATGTATTTTGACTGAAGCTCTGGACAAAATAAAATATCAGATAAAATATTTTCTAAGGTCTATTTTCTGAACATTTTTTCTGGAAATTCACTAACAACAGATGGGATATTTGAAATGCAAACAACAATTAGAGCATTAACGCCCGAAGCAGGGGTCTTGTCACGTCTTTTTGCTCTAGTAAACTCCAGACATATCATAAAATGTTATCAACTACTCAAAGGCAAGTTCATATTAACCGCCTTAATTTAAGCACTATAAACCATAAAGCACCTTATAAAGTAGGGAGTAGGGTTATAAAATCAAGTAACTACAGTGTAGTAAGTCCAAACAGATGGTGACTTGCTGGATTAGTTCTTACATATGAGCAACAGGATAAAATTAAATGCAACAATGAAATATTCCACCATCTCTTTCTATACTGTATCAAAGAAACAGTTTAAGAAATAATATAATTTTGTCTTTATTAGTGGTACAATACAACCAATTTGTCCCAACTAGCTTTAATCATGATTAAGCATTCTTTTCCAAAACAACGCTGGCAAGGAATTCATCGTGGACGGAAGGGCCAGCCCTGTCTGGCAGGAGTAACAGGGGAGGACCCAGCTCCTAAACTCCTGGCTTCAGCTGCTGTGACTCTCAAGTTTCACAGCTTCACATTTTCTTACGTAGAGAACACAGCTGACTCCCTATTGTATAGAGAGTCAAAGCTCTGCCTATAAACATGCTACTTTGCAGCAAAATGAGCAATCACAAGGCTTACTGGGTAATATATCCAGCACACTCCATGCCGAATGTTGTCCTTATACTGTCCCTTGAAGATCAGCCTCCCGTCCGTGTCGTATTCCTGGGCCGGACCATTGAGCTCTCCGTCCACATAGGTGCCCTGGAGAACTCCCCCATCCTCATAGGTGTAAACTCCCTGGCCCTGCAGGGCGTCGTCCACGTAATAGCCCTCCAGGGTGCTGTGAGAGAAGGCAAACAAAAGGAGCTGTCAGGCCGTGACTCAACTCTCCAGACAGAAAGGGTCATAACCCAGGACCATGGGCCTGTGCTCGGCACTTCCCCCCGAACCTTGCTAGATTGCTAGGAAAACACTGCGAAGGATCAGGAACAGAGAGGGAGACTTCATTTCTAATCGGGTTCCCACTAATCTTTTTTCTCTGCTGGAGGAAACAGGCGAGAAAGAAGCCACAGGTGGAGACTGAGCACAAGCCTCAGCTGAGTGTGTTTCCAAGACGGGATGCCGACCACTGCCTGGCAGTAGAGGGTCGGGTGTCGCCCTTTCCACACATAAGCCACTCAGGCCTAACTTCCCTCAAGAGTGGTAGACTCAAGGGGCTTTCAGTTGGCTTGTGTATAGTGGTCTCTAATAATACAAATGTGGTTTAGAATGAATGTGAAAATGTCTACAGATTTGTTTTAAATCATTAATGAATGGATTATTTGTCAGTGACAGCCATAATTGTTATCCAATCAAAATAATCCCCTTCCATCTTTTTGGAAGATATAGGGAAATTTATTTGTGTGTGTGTGTGTGTACATGACCATGGAAAATAGGGGCAAGTAAGGAAAACCACAGGCTAAACCTTGCGAACATCATTAGCAGACTGATAATGTGTGAGACCCATAGCCCTAGAACAGACGAATGCTCAGAAGGGTGCTCATGGTGATTTTAAGTGCCTCTCTATCTCTCTCTCTTCATAAAACACTTTCAGAATTTCGATAACATTTTCGGTGCTAGCCTCACACAGGCCAGTGTGCAACGAAACTAACTTTACCAAAAACTCCCTTTATGGACTGATATTTGGAACAAGGGGGGAGACCAACTCAAATTATTTTTGAATTTAAAATGTAAGATGTTGCCCAGCCGGGCGTGGCTCAGCGGTTGAGCATTGGCCTAGCATCCAGGAGATCAGGGTTCGATTCCCGGTCAGGGCACATGCCCCGGTTGCGGGCTCGATCAATGACTCTCTCATCATTGATGTTTCTCTCTCTCTCTCCCTCTCCCTTCCTCTCTCTGAAATCAATAAAGATATATTAAAAAAAAAAAAGTAAGATGTTTAGCAGCAGAGACAGTTTGATTCCCNTCTCTCTCCCTCTCCCTGAAATCAATAAAGATATATTAAAAAAAAAAAAAGTAAGATGTTTAGCAGCAGAGACAGTTTGATTCCTTTAACATGTGCAGATAGCATTCGTTCATTAATGCAACTAACAAGTATTTATTGGGTGCTTCCTAAGTAGCGAGCATGGTGTGAGGTTCTAGAGAGCCCAATAAACTGCGAACTGTGGCAGGTGGGACGCAAAGGGGCCATGGGGACTGAGGTGGTTGCACCTGACTGTGCCTGGTAAAGTCTTTTCTTGCTTTAATAAATGACAGAATGATCTGTGGTTATTAAATGGAAAGTACAGTCCAAGTAACGATAACCTCTGATTACATTGTAATTACACTATTTGTGGTCTCCCAAGGAGATAAATAGTTCTCTTTTGGTTTTATTTGTACTATGAATGACAAATAGGCTTATTTTAAAGTGCACTTTAGCAGAACCCTTGCATAAATCATCAAAATTCTAAATCAGCAAGGGTGGAATTAATGAGAGTCGACTGTCATTAGACTCCTACAATTAAAAACAAAACAACAACCTTGGTGAAGGATAGCTAATCAACTGACATAATGATGCAATAAATATTGCAGAAAACGATTTCATTCTCTGTCTTCATTTTCAGAACTGCCAGAGTAAATACAGGATGCTCAGTTACGTTTGAATTTCAGATAAACAACAAATAAATTTGTAGTATACATGTCCCAAATATTGAATGGGACACGGTGCCACTAAAATATGCTTTGTTGTTTATCTGAAATGCCATTTTCACTGGGTGCCCTGGATTTTGATTGGCTAACCCTGGCAACCGGACTGACCGGGTTCTCAGCAGCGTTCAAAACTGAATTGCGTGTCGGGTAGAATTATCCCCTGACGAACTAGCCTGCCAATATTTCCCAGGTTTATGATCACCTCTACAAGTCATGGGTCTTACGAATCAGTTAAACAATAATATGGACTTAGACATATTCCCTCCTAACCACATGTAGTAGCTTGTCTCTTGCAGTGAAGCCCATCCTTATTAGTATCATAAGACCAAGAATAAACTATTTCTTCTTAGCCCGGCTGACATAAGATACCCACATGCAAATTCTTGGGCCATTGCACAGCAAAACTAAACTGCATTACTTTCAGCACCTGCCTGAGGAAGCAGCTTCACTTCCTTGGAAAATATTTAGGGTGGCTTGGCTGGCATCTGAAGACAAAAGGGGCATGTTTCCACACCAGGGACTCCGAGCAATAAAAATGATCTGGCTCTGAAATCCTCCACCATGCAGGAAATAAGATAAAAGCGTCTCAGCCTGGTGTTAAAGGCGCTAACCTTTCTTTCCAACTCGTTCCTCCTGCAGAGCAGGCTGGCAAGCCACGGCCTGCTGCCTGTTTTTGTAAATACAGTTTTATTGGAACACAGCCGTGCGCATTCCTTCCCGGATCCTCTGTGGCTGCTTTCCTGTTACAACAGCAGAGCCGAATAGTTGCAACAGAGACTGTTCGTGGCCTGAGAAGCCGAAGGCGTTCACTGTCTCATCCTATAGAGGAAAAGTTTGCTGACACCTGCTCTCAAGCCCTCTGCTCACTCTAGATGATTTACTGGCCCCGGGCACATGTCTGTGTAGCTTAGCTTCCAAACTGTGTTTTCCTTGTTTCTTCCCATAAAACATGTCACCAAACTTTTAAAATCCCTGGGGACACAGTAAAAACAACAACTGGGGAGTCACATTCCTTTTTACCGAGACTGACATACTGCATTCATTTTAAAATTCCCTTCAATATCTGAATACACAAAAGTGGTCTTAGGACACTTAACAGCTTTGGCCTTTCCTTCGTAGTTTTGGGGTGTACATGGTGTGTCTACTGCATGAGGCATAAACTCTGTTCTCTTTCTCCAATGAGTTCCCTTCCTTCCCCGGGCGGTACAGCCATATAAGAACCAAGAGGCAAATTTAAAATGGATCACAATTTCACTTTAAATTCCCACCTATAACCAAATTAAATTGTGATTCTTTTTAGAAACATTGTTTTAGGAATTATTTTGTATGACAATATATATATATATGATCTCTTAAAATATTAAAGACTAAGTATGGAAGGAGAGGGTCAACGACAAACCCTAACCGGGTGCAGGGACCCCCTCGCCCAGAAGCATCAGCCCCCTGCACCGTGTGGGCGGGAGCTGCATGGAGCACCACCAAGCTTCCACGACTGTAGGATCTGATTCTAATAAAGGCTCAAGATGACAGTGAAATATTCAAGAGACAATTAGTGAAATTCAGTTTTGCTCTTGAAAAACAAACTGTAAGAAAACTCTGTTAGTCATTGTTATCAACTAATAATAACAGTAACAACAATATGATAAAAGATGATAATAATAATCCATCCTTGACCTTCAGGGCATTATGCTAACTGAAACAAGTCAGGTGAAAAAAGACAAATGCTGTATGTCCTCACTCACATGTGGAATCTACAAAAGCCCAAATTCGCCTGGCCAGTGTGGCTCAGTGGTTGAACATCAGCCCATGAACCAGGAGGTCACCGCTGGATTCCCAGTCAGGGCACATGCCCGGGTTCCAGGCTCCATCGNCCAGGAGGTCACGGCTGGATTCCCAGTCAGGGCACATGCTCGGGTTCCAGGCTCCATCGCCAGTAGGGGGCGTGCAGGAGGCAGCCAATCAATGATTCTCATCATTGATGTTTCTCTCTCTCCCTCTCTCTTCCTCTCTCTGAAGTCAATTAAAAAAACCCATACTTAAAAAAGCCTCACTCATAGAAACAGAGAGTGGTGGTTGCCAGAGGCTGAGGGGTGGGGGAAATGGGGAGCTGTTAGTCAAAAGGTACAAACTTCCAGCTATAAGATGAGTAAGTTCTGGGATCTAATGTACAGCATGGTGATTATGATTCACAACGCTGTATCAAATACTTGAAACTTGTTAAGAGAGTACATCTTAACTGTTATCATCCCACATGCAAAAATGGTAGTTATGTGAAGGGATGGAGGTGTAAACTACCCTTACTGTGGTAATCATCTCTCAATATATGCGTGTATCAAGTCATCCCACTGTACACCTTAAACTTACATATGTTATGTCAATTATATCTCCATAAAGCTGGGGGAAAGGCGATACACAGTAATAGAAGAAAAAAAATCCATGCTTCCCCATGAGCGCCTACTAGGTGCCCTTCAGTCTACCAGGTCCTGAACAGGTTTTCTCTCCAGTCTTCACAACAGCTCAGAGCAGCGGGGGTAATCATCCCCATTCTATAAATGAGGGGCCAACTCGCTAGAACAGGGCTCCTCTGAGTTGTTTCTTAGGGAAACCTTCCATCAAACGGCCAGGCTCCTACCACATTGTTCCAGCTCCTACAGGAAAGTCACTGAAGTCACCCCAGGGCTCCTTTGAACATCTCACAGTTATAGCTGATGAGTGACCTCTAGTAAAGTCAAGGCATGGAAGAAGCTGTCAGGATCCGAGGAATTTCCTGGCTTCTGGTTAGAGGAGGGTATAGATATAATGGGAAGAGGGGTGGCTCTGCAACTGAACTCACCTTCGTTTGAATCCCAGCTCTTACTAACGGGGACCTTGGGCAAGTTAGTTAACCACTCCGTGCCTTAGTTTCTTCATATGCAAAACCGGATTATAAAACGGACTTCCCAGGTTGTTCTGAAGGCAGGTGAACAAGTGACAGGTATTCAAAGTTATCCATTCTTTTCTACTCCCTGTCTTCTCGTGTGTCACAAAAATGTTTGCCTTAATCAGACTGTTTATTAGAATACAGATGAATATATTTGTTGAGTCTGGTGCCAACAAAAGCTGGATGACTATCAGGAACAGAAAAGGACTTTTTTTTTGGCCTCGTGTGGGAGACTGGAATACATGACTTCAGAAGTTCATTCTGACTCGTTTCTCTGAAGTGTGACCAAGCACTTTCTCAAAAGCAAACATGGCCCTGTCACCCGGAACCCACTGGCCTTTCTTGGTGGCTCATCAGGTGGGCAGCCTCACTCAGGTTACCTGGCCAATGATAAACTATAAGGAGCCCTCTTAGCTGGACACATTAATGCAGCATCAACTGCAGAACATGATGGGCACAGGACAGTGACGTCATGGAGCAATAAATAATACTTGGAAATCTAATTGGTGTGTAAGGAGAAGCAACAATAACATTTAAAAAAAACTAAATGAATTAACTCATCTCTATCTTGTAGGCAAGCTAAAAAACATACATTTCCTTAATATTACACAAGCCAAAGCTTATCTGCATTGAAATACCCCTTCCTCGTTAGCATCCTAGGATTCTGAGAAGTCCTGCTAAATTGTCTTTACATTCATAATCTTGGCTGAAATGAGAACAATTATGAGGGGGGGGGAAGCATTATACTAAACATCCAGAATTGAGGATTAGTATGAAAATCAGAGATGTGTATATCAAAGTATTTTGCATGGTAAACATTTTCATAACACCCCACTGTGGCCCAGCAAATCCCCCCCAGAGCCACACCCACAAAGCCCGAGCCTCCTTTCTCCTCACTGCACAGGCGTCTTTATCTAGGACCCGAGTACCAATGACCTAGTCTTAGCACAGTTTTCTTCCTTCCTTTAAAAAGAAGGAAAAATGGAAACCAACAGCTGCTTGAAAAGACAGTTTTCAAATGAAGGTCAGTTTTCACATTCATCCCTCATTTGTGGCATAAACGATCTGGCAAAGGATGAGTGTGGTCTGACTTCAGGTTTCCGACTTAATAAGCCTGTTGTAATAAAAGCTCTTCCGGTTTAATTTTGTCATATAATGAAGAAAAGACTAACTGTTGTTTAAGATCTCAAAACCAGCCAACAGTCTGAAGCTGAGACAGTAGTAAAAAGGTAAACAATGTACATCTTGACTATTTAAACTTAATTTAGAGATTTGGAAATAGCTATTTCCTTATTTTACCTTGAATATACTTAATTAAAATGCTTAAATTTTCTGCCAACAATGGTGACTTCTGTGACATGGGAGTGAGGGTGAAAAAAAAGGGAGCATATTCGCCTTTTAAATTTCTGTATTTCTTGAAGTTTTTAATTCTACCAAGCATTTGCCATATATACACTTTGAAAATAAATTAAAATCTGCCTTTATCTAGGAACTTGGTTAAAAAATTTAACAGGTCCATTTTCCTGGTGATCTGAATATTTAAAATCCTTATTTAGGTTTATCATAACCTGTGGTAAGGGAAAAATTGATTCTGGAATTTTCTTGATAGAAACTCACATTTGTATGAAACCTCATAAATCGCACACCCAGTTAAAGGTATAGGTTATGGTGATGGTTTCATTATGGTGATGGTTTCATGGACATGTGTTTAACTCCAAATTCTTCCAGTTGTAGACATTAAATATGTACAGCTTTCTGCATGTGAATCATACCTCAATAAGTTGGTTTTAAAACAATCACACACCTGAGTTCAGGTTTTACATAAGATTAGAATGTCTCCATCTAAATCTGTCTTTACACTTTGTGATTTTGCAAACACAGGTTCCCGCAGTTGCAAACAAACCCTCTGATGGGAACATTAGCCAGCACTATAGGCTAGAACAACTTCATAAAACTCTAATAGAAACCTTTTGTTTCCTGTTACTTCAAAACCTTGATTTCAGCCTTTGTGAGGGAATTTTTCCTGACCAAAGTCTCCTGACTGGCAATAAAGGTGTTTGTAGGGTTCCCACCTTATTTTACCCAACACATCAGACCCTAAAATTTAGGAGTGGCAATAGGGAGAAAAACTGACAAACCAATGTAAAGTACAGGGCTGCTTCATGCAGAAACAGCTGACTTCTCCGTGACCAAAGCCTGCACTCTCTTTAGAAAGACCCAACGGATTCCATGGCCTTTCCCCAGGCATAAGACCATTTCACCGACTTTTTCAGTGACTCCCTTTAGCAGGTGTCTCATAACAGCATCAGCACTGGGTTTAAGAAAGAAGATGATGAGAACCTGTCGCCACACGGCTTCATCACACATCATACAGCAGTGAGACTGACCTTCTCCCCTCAAGGCTTCAGTCCCCATCTGTCTGAAGAAAGCTAACAAAGGTAAGCTCTCGAGGTCCTCACTAGTACCATCAATCTTTGAGTCTACTATCTGAGCTAAAGTGTCTACCAGGGTTTGAGTGATAGGTATGCAAACTAGTGAATTGGTGCCTCAAAAAAAAAAAAGTCAATGAATTTACTTGTATCCCATAGATAGTTTTTGGCTTAGCGCTTCAGCTCTGTCATATCATGACACACGTGCCAACCACTGCATTCGTCCAGCACACTCAGGTGACTGGGTGAAGCTGCTTGGAGCCAGCTTGACAGAGCAAAGGAGGTGCTTGGGGAGTCTCTGGCCCCACCCAGCACCAGGGGCCAAGGGGACTAGTATTTTTGGAGCTAACTAACATGTAGTTCATTCTCGGCATGCTGGTTTGGAAGCTCGGTTTAATCCATCAATACTCTTGTGTCTTATGTCTATGAAACAACCAAGTAACCAACACTAAATTCCAACCAAACTAACACTACTAACCAACACTAATAACCAACCAAATCTGCTGGACTGTCTTCCTAGAGTCAATCAATTACTTGCTCTGATCATCAAGCTACCAGATTTAAAGCATGGGTGTGTGTATGTGTGTGCTCTGGATGAATTCTACTCTCTTTCAGCTCCCATGCTCATTCAGGAAGAAATTTTTTTTAAGTATTAAATTAAGGGAAAGTGCTTTAAAGCCCAGAGGAGGAAAGAGACAAGATTCTGCCCTCAAGGAAACCTCTGTCCTGCAGGGGGAAACAAGACATTTATACAAATTACATTTGCTAAATGAATCAAAGAATAATTGCTGCATGAGGTAAAGAGAGACACTTTCCAGAAGACAGCAGCAGACACACTGCTGTGGAAACAGGAAACGTTCCCCTCTGCACAGGTGGCAGGGTCAGGGGAGAAGAAAACACTGACGTCGGATCTTGAAAGAGTCCGCCACGGGACTCAGGTATCCACCAGGTATTCAGAGCAGGGCAAAAGGAAGGAAGCAAAATACCTGACCATTTTAAATGTACAGTTTGTAAGCAAAGCTCTGCTTAAAAAAAAAAAGGTGGGGCGTGGGGTTGGGGCAACGGGAAAGAGAAGGTTGGAATGAATAGTTAAAATAACGTTTTACAAAAGTCCTATGATGGGTTTTTATTGTTTTCCTCACTCCTCCTGACATCAGATAATTGACAGCCCGAGGAGCTGTTGGTATCTTCAAAAACAACCTACCCCATCCACGGAAAAGGGGTTTGGCTCACACGCCGGTCCCTGCGCTCACCCTCCAGCTGTCAGCTTACACACGGCCTTTCCCAGGGGAACTCCGAGGGTGAGAGGGCCCAGGTCATTCCCCGCGCCGGGAGCCGAGGAGTGTGCTCCGTGCACGGAGTCCCGAAACCGGGCTGGCTAAGCCCAGTTCTGTGCTACCCAACCAAGGTGTCTGAAGAGCTGGCCCTTCTGTGGCTCTCTTTCCTCTCAATGCTTGGGAAGGCCACGTGGACACTCTTTGTTTCTGAAGCTGACAAGGTTTAAAAGTCATCGTTGCAAAGCTGAGCCCCGGCAACCCCATCTCATCCTGAAACGGGAAAGGCCCACAGTCACTGCAGCCATCACAAGAGGGTACACAGCTTCTGCCCCACGCGTCCTCACAGAGGAGGCGAAAGCAACGTGAAAGAACGCTGCTGTGAAGATGTTTCAACGAGAGGTAGGACACAGAAAATACAAGTGCCGGCATCAGCATCCGGGCACCACACATAAAGGCGGGCTATCCCAAGACAAGCCCGTGAGGCCGGAGCTGTACACCTCCCGCGCCTTACTCACTGCTTGGACCGGGAGGACGCGGCCCTGCAGAGCTTGGCTAAGTATTTTCCTGACCAGCCCCATGAGGAGAGGGAACATGCTGAGAAACTAATGAGGCTGCAGGAGCAATGAGGTGGGGGAATCTCCCTGCAGGACAGCAAGAAACCAGACCGTGAGGACAGAGAGCAGGCTGAAGGCATGGAGTGTGCGGTACACCTGGAAAAAAGCGTGTCGGGCACTGCTGGAGCTGCGCCAACGGGCCCCTGACACGCACACTCAAGTGACTTCCTTGAGACTTACTACCCGAATGAGAGGTGAAATCCATCAAGGAAATGGGTGACCACCTAACCAACTTGTTCAAGATGGGACCCATGCACCTAGCACTGAGGAGCATCCTCTGACTACCACACCCTAGGAGGCAGTGATGACAGCCAAGCCTTAGCCTGGCCTCTCCATAACCACGGGGTGACTTCCCTGTCCCCAAAGCAGTGCATGCACACACGGTGGGCTCACTTTCATCTCACCTAAAAGTTGTATCAAAAGGTCCACTTAAGTTCTTTCACTGGTATCGTTCCTTCAAATAGAGTCATTTGGTACCCTCCCTCCCCCAAGCAAAACAAAACGGAACCGTGAGTGCTACCTGCCGTCAAAGAAGAAGAACTTCCCGCGTCCGTTCTTTTCTCCGTGAACAAAGTTCCCCTCAAATCTGTCTGTGGAGGAGTAGGTGACTGTGCAGAACCCGTGCGGTAATCCGTCGTCATCCAGGTGCCCTGGAGAAAGGGAATCACAGGCAAACCTTAACATCTTCCACGCTCCCCCACCGACGCGTTGGGCACAGAAGCTGCGGGCAAGTCCCCCGGGGGGCCAAAGGGTCCCTTCCCTGCTCACGGGGAGAACAGAGCAAAGCCTTCTCCCCTCGCCCACATCAGCAGTGCCAACCTGACCGTCTGTACACTTTGTGAAGGACAGGCCCACAACGGAGGGACTTGGGCACATTTCAGACATGAACGAAAGTAAGCTTGCATTTTAGCGGGGACTGAGTTCTTATCGATAACAGCATCCGCAGGGCCTGTTCAGTTTACCAAGTACTTCCCCACCTGGTACTCTCATGTTAGGAATTACGGCCTCCAAACTGATGCTTAACAGAAATGCAGCTGAGATAACATCATATTATAGTCTATTGCCAGGTACATTGTCCTTGCAATGAGTCATCGAATTGTAGAACTAGTATACAATATGGTTTTATATGTCATTATGTAGCATGACGTGGAGGACTGCTAGCCAGGGGACTTCTGGAAACCCCACTATTTGTTACATTCAAACAAAGGACGTGGCCACATCTCTAAAACTGCCTGGATATTTATATACCTCACTGTGCTAACGTGTGAACTCAGAGTCCTTCCAAGCCTGAACTTAAGCTTAACCTTGAACTCACTGCTTCCCTTTACAAAATCTTCCAGCTTTGAATGTCTCATAATGACCTTGTCGTATACCTTCCACCACTGCGTTCTGAGGGCTTTTGCTTTAAATGCAGCAAGAAGCAGCTACATGGCCATTTAGGCAGCCACATGGCCAGTTAAGCAGTGATTCTGAACATCACCAGCAGTTCTGATACTGTGATCTTTAAATTGCTGGTTCTGCCTGGGTCACAGGCTGGTATATTCTAACATTTGTGTTTGCAGTCAGTGTTTAGGATTTTATGATTATCTACATATTTCACAGAACCCAGGAGTCCCCTCACTGGTGTCTCCCCAATCGTTCTGGTGAGCTGATTTTGCAGAGGTGGGTGAAAACGAAGGCAGTAGTTAATCTAGTGGCTTTTTTCGTGGGTGAATGACCTGGGTCATGGATGAAAAGGTACAAAAGCATTAAAAACTGTGGGGAGTGCAGGGGCATTAAACACTCAAATGTGGCTTCCAGATGGCTCACAGGCATAAAAGAAAACACAAACCCTGTCACCACAATGAACACTTTAGTCTCCCAAAATGATTTCTTCTAAAGGGATAAAAGTACATCATCCCTTGGAAGAGATGGTAAGTAAACACTCTTATAAAGAAAGAAGAGCTCTTTATTTTTATTGTATTCTTATGCAAGCAGAAAATAACAACAAACAATTTTAGTTCTTCATCTGACTGTATAGGATGAGTTACCTAGAATATATTGCAATAAAATGTGGCTGCTTAAATAAATCACAGTTGATACAGTTCCTTTCCACTTAACACAGGTGTTTTTTTTGTTTCTTTTTGTTTTTGTTTTTTACTGAGGGCCAGAAAATTAATGGTCAGGAGGGAAAGGAGCCATAATGCTTTCATCTTGTTCCAAACCCAACTGTATGTGACATAATTCAATGACTCTTAAGTCATGTGAAATAATTTGGACAATTATCTTCTAATTATCTACTGATGATATTTCTCTCATTGAAATAAATTAAATCTACTATTTTATGTTCATTAAAAAAACAGTGTATATAGCTAAATACTTTCTTTTATGAAATGTCGGGATCAAATTCAGTTTTAGCTGTTCACATTCCTATGAATTCAGCATTTTACTTTCGATGTAGGTATAAATATCAGAATACTCATTTTAGCCTTGTATTGAAGTATTTACTAATTTGTTGAAAATGCTTTCCCCACAGAAAACAGTTCACATATTTCAGACTTTCAAAAGTTAATATTTGATGAAATTTGTTATTCTACTTTAGATTAAGAGAAATACTATGATAACCATGAACACTGAAAGGAAAAAAAACTACCCAATGTAAATTCATCTTCACCTTTCCCCAGTCACAATAGTCCTGTCCTATTTCTGCATAAAACACTGCAGATGCACCGACAGCAATGGAATTTATATATTAGAGAAAATGGAAAGTGTCATATAACACACTAAAAGCACTTGAGGGTCAGTGCTGATCCCAATGGAGATGAAAGCAGAAATATCAGCCTCGCTCCACGAGGCTACTTGTTTCAATGCCTCTTTCGACAGGTCAGTGAAGAGGAGTCTCATCACCTTCCTAGTCTCTAAGGAGAGAGGAACAGAGAGGAGCTGCTGAACGACGGCCATTTCTCTGGTGACATCATGTGTTTAGAAGGAGGTGCTTGGACACCTGATGCTTCCCTGCCATTTTAAAGGTGTTAGGTTGCTTGTTGTGAGAGAAAGTCCTGAAATCTCCCTCTATCAGACCACTGTGGGACCCCGTGCTGGCCAGTTTGTTGTTTTCTTCCAAAGGAGATGTGATTAATGATCAGGATCAATGAACAGGAAGGAGCTAGATGTTAAGGGTTGTCATCATTCAAGACTTCCACCCTGAATGTTTAACAGCCTGGATTCATTGTCCTAGCCACAGAACTTAATATATAAAACAGCAATCCAACCCAAACAATAACAATGCAGAGATTTTCCTTAGAAAGAAATGTAGGGATAAGAGACTTGGCTGCTGTGCCCTCACCTCTCCTTTCAACGTCAGTGCTAGAGGAGCCTCTGGCACGGCTCTTGTTCAGATGCCATCTGGACAATAGAGCATGTCGTATTTGTCTTGTCAGTAATAGTCAATTTAATGGAGAGGAAACTGATACACAAAGGAGAAAGTTTGTGTTCCTTCCTATGCATCTGGCATTGGGTTGTGTGCTTTCCTGTTATCTAAATGGAACCCCACAACCATCTTCCAAGTGCCAACTGTATAGGCGAGGAAGCCAGAGCTACATGACCTGCCCAGGAAGCACATCAACTGCTCCGAATGCGCTACTGAATGCTGAACGCCCCTTCCTAAGTCTTTCAGTTCCCTTTCTCTCTAGAGAAGGGAAACTAGCCCCTTGCTTCCCTGCTGACGGTGGAAGCAGGTACCTCTAAACAGGTAGGTGCATCCAGGTCCCAGGTACAGAAGTGGAAGAGCCTTTGTAGTGAAGGTAGTTTTTGTAGAGCCTCCAGGACTTGCACTGGCATATCCTGGTCACAAATTCCTGCCCCTTCCAAGTGTTACCTAACTCAGTGAGAAACACTAGTCCTCCTTGCTCTAGCGAGCTCAGTTTCTGAAACGTACCAAGTCAGCCAACAGCCTTCCAGGTCAGTTCCTACCACATGGAGGCTGAACACCAGGCCAGACAACAAGGGAGGTTCACTGGGATGACTGCTCTGTGTTGATAATGCTGTCCCAGCTCCTGTGCAGTCTGTCTGTCTGCAGCATGATTTTAAATATTTATAGAAGTTAGAAAAAGGGGAAAAAATGTCAGGGTCTCACAGTCTACTTTTGCACTTTGTTCTAGAGCTCACTCTCTACTGAATGGATAGAAAGTGAATTCTTTCCCTGTGAGTTCCCTCTGAGCTTTCTCCTTAACCCGATGAGACCCAGGCCTGTCTGTTCTGTGCAGTGACTCTCTCCACATCAGACACCAGGCTGCTTCTGCCTCAGGCTCACTCACAGGAGATCTGAGAGTGGTGTGTGTGTGAGTGTGTGTGTGTGTGTGTGTGTGTGTGTGTGTGTTTCCCTAGGAACAAGAGACGCTTACATGCACTGTTGATTTTGTAGACTAGAACTGCTTATACAATAATAATAATAAAAGGCAAGCTTATTCTGTTCAGTGCAAAGAACATGCCCTCATGATGATGCATTTACACTGGTTGTTGAAAACTTAATTTGATTTTTGAAAGTAATTCCTTACCAGAGCTCAATTGTTAGTTATGAGGGTCATAATTTTAAGATATGGCCACAGGGAGAGGATGAGCAGGCTTATGAGAGACAGGCAGGATAAGATGTTAGGGGGACATTAAAAATATGCTTGGTATTTTGAGGGGCTTGGGGCAGAGCAACACTGAGATGCTTGTTTTCCTTCTGGCTCCTTAGTTCTGGGGATTCTTTTTTCCCTTTATTGTCTCCTATATATTTCCAGGCCTTTCCATTTTTTTTCTGCCTCATAAATGCACATTGGGATTATTGCAAAGAGCCTTCTAGGTGATGGCCTCACCTGCTCACCACTGCCCTCTCATCTTCCCAGAGCAGAGGTCTGATCCTGGCATTCCCAGCTCCAAAGAGCCCCCATGGCTTCCTGTGGCTTCCAGCACAGTCTACGCCCTTGGCCTGTGACACAGCCACTTTTTCCTGTCATACTCTCCTTTTCTCCTGGGCCCCTTTTTTACAGTAGGACCAAAAGATTCGTCTCTGAACATGCCTGCATAATACCACTCCTCTATATCTTTATTCACCAAGTCCCCACCACCGCACTGAACTCAACTCCACACCACCTCTCTGGGAGCTCTTTCTTCATCTTCTTTCCCAAGCCAGAAGTAATTTTTATTTCCTCTCAACCACCATAATTCATCTGTTTAGATATGATATATTTATTTGAGATTATATTAGGAACCACACTGTATTCACCTTTTAATCTGTGGGTAGACAAAGACACAGATGTAGTAATAAATATTTCTGTTTCCAAAGTTCAACCTCACTTCCCACTGAACCAATGAGTCTCAAAGAATTTTTAAAAATCCATAGCAGGAGCTCAGGTGGAGGTTTTGGGACTCTGAGGCCCAGGGGCCGGCTGCCTTCCCAAGGGAGCACAGCAGGTCTGGTACACAGACAGAGAATCAAAATGTACATTATGTGACAAAAGATTTTCAAGTCCTGAACAGACCAATTTGTTCCCCAGAGTAAATTTCTTAGGAGGAAGAAAAAGAAGAATGTCTGTTGCAGAGGCTGTAAGTTAAATTCTCATTCCCCAAATACATCAGAACCAACCTCTAAAGAGTTACCACTGATAAAGAGTGATACTGACATAATATTTAACTGTTGCTTCCAGGCTTGGTTCCCAAGTATTTCATATACTTGATGACTCATTAAAAGTCAACAATAAGAAAAACGTAGAGAGATAGTTGGGTAGGATGGAGAGGGGCTCTGGAGGCCCAAGCCTGTCCCCCACGCCACTGAGTATCCTAGGATTAGTTCTT